TCAGTGGTCAATGTCACGGCCACTGCTTGGCTTGATTCTGCTCAATGAGAAGGTATGTGTGGTGTGTGTGTGTGTGTTAGAGGTGGGGGGGAAATCAATGATCTGATACTTCATGATTCTCTCTTCAATGATTCTGAAAACTTGTATGCATATTAGGGGTGTAACGGTACACAAAAATCACGGTTCGGTATGTACCTCGGTTTTAAAGTCACGGTTCGGTACGTTTTCGATACAGCAAAAAGAAAGAAATGCCAGAAAAATTTCCCATTTGTTAAAAGAAAAAATATTTTTTAATAACTGTGTTTTCCTACATCTTGAAACTTTCAGGTTTATTAATGGGGGTCATCTTTGAAGGATGAACAAATAATGTTTTGGTCATCACATTAAAAATAACATTTAAATATATATTTATTTATATATTATTTGAGTTTTGAAGTGCTGGAAAAAGATGTGTGAAGTACTTGAAAGTATTTCACTATTCCAGGCAAGGTTACAGTTAGTGTTACTATATTAAATCCATGGTGAATGTTGCTGGTCTGTGGACGTAAAGTATTACTATAGTTCATTCACGGCACAATGTTTCTCCTGGTTTCCACGTCAGCGCTGTTTGATCTAATAAAGATCTACGGTAATAACGGAGAAATGTGAATCCTTCTCAGTAGATCTCGCAGCGATGTTATTACTTCAGTGGCGAATTCAAATGTTTTCTTTACTGGATCTCTTAGCGCTGTGTTGTACCAGTGTCGCTTGATCGAGATCGGCACGCGCTGCACTGATGTTGCTGGTCCGAACTGATAAACGATCCGTGAAGCACAATATAATGAGAAGCGCAGTTTCGTTCCGCTTTCATTACGCTTGCCATTTGATGTTGCGCAACGTTGTGGTGGTCGCGCCAGCGCGAATTTTGTCGGCAGGAAAAAATGGTCCAAGGAATCGTTCGGTTTGTATGCGTACCGAACCGGAAGCCTCGTACCGAAACGGTTCAATACGAATACATGTACCGTTACACCCCTAATGCATATATATAAAAAGTTTAGAGTTGGTAAGGTTTTATATATATATAGAAAGAAGTTTCTTATACTCACCAAGGCTGCATTTATTTGACAGTAAAACTGTAATATTCTGAAATATTATTACAAAATAAAAATTTCTGTTTTAATATATTTTAAAACATAATTTATTCCAGTGATGTCAAAGCTGATTTTTTTTTACCATCATTACTCCTGTCTTCAGTGTCACATGATCCTTCAGAAATCATTCTAATGTGCTGATTTGCTCCTCAAGAAACATATACATTTTTCAGGATTGAAATAGAAATCTTTAGTTACATTATAAATGTCTTTACTTTAACTTTGGTCAATTTAATGCATCCTTGTTGAATAACAGTGTTAATTCCTTTCTGACCCTACATTTTTAAACGTGTGTGTGTGTGTGTGTGAAAACAATGTAATGTAAATATGGTGTCAATTCTGTAAATAGTCACAGCTATACACACCTAAGAATATAGTGTGACTATACAATCCTTGGGTTCTTTTTGATGAAAGGCCCATCATTCTTTTTAACTTTTAATTAGCACTACAACACCACTTGTGATCAGAGCATTGTGTTTGTAGTATTTTGCAGATCTGAGGAACAGCATTGTGAACAGCCAACCACCAGAAAAGCAGCAAGCCATGCACTTATGCTTCGAAAATCTCATGGAGGGCATAGAGCGAAACTTGCTCACCAAAAACAGAGACAGGTCATTTGATTTCATATGATTTTCATCCTGCTTTGCATTTAAGTTTACAGAGAAATACTAAACCATAATAAAGTAAAATTTAAATTAAGCACTCATGCGCACACACAAAGTTTGCCGCAATGGCTAAAGTAATGATTATGAATGTAATTTTAATAAACTAGTGCTTTCTGAGTCAGTGTCGTCTGCAAAGATGAAGTTGACGACGCTGACTCGTCATCCGCAGTATGGTGGATGGAATTTGAGAAAAATGCACGCTAAGTTAATCGTCATGCAGTAAGCGCTGTACTGATTTAGCTGAGAGAGTGTCCATTTAAAATGGCTGAAGTTAGGCTGCTAATTGCAAGTTTCAAATGATAAGCCATGTTTGAGGTGGATGAATGATAGACGAAAGTTTGGATTTCCTGCCTGACATGCTGTAATTTCCACATGGACCAGCCATGTTAACGATCTGTCATGGACTGCGTGACTTCACCAATTGGATTTTTTTTTTTTTGACAAACCAATTAAAATTTGGTCGACTACGACTTCTCCTCAACTATTAGGGGGCAGCCCTAGAAGCTTCACTTTTATTACTATATCTTTTTATTAAACTATATCTTGTATCCCTAAAGTTTTGAGAGTATTAAAATAATTTGTATTTATATTGTGCCATGCTAAAAGACAGAAGCTGACACTCGCACTTTCTTTCTAGATGTAATTTAAGTTACGCATGCATGCATATATACTCAACTATTTTTCTTTATTTTGCAGGTTTACACAGAATCTTTCAGTATTTAGAAGAGAAGTCAATGACTCCATGAAGAATTCCACATACGGGGTAAACAGCAACGATATGATGAGCTGACATTCCATAGAGCACCAGGCCACGTGGCCCGGCCCCGTCCCGTACTCCCACCCACCCCTGGCCCGGCTGCCGGGGGACCACCACTGCGCAAGCCTGCACCTCCCGCTCCCCAGTCCCTAAAAAAACCATTACTTCTCTCCCCTCACATCTCCTCCCCCACCCTTTTTTATATATATATAAATATATATATATACACATATAAATATATACATATTTTAAAGCCAGTTTCAAGAGGTCCTTCTCCTTGACCATTCTCTTGTCATTTGGGGCTCAAAGTCCAAAGAGAGTGAAGAGGGCTGGGGAATGGTTGGGAATGGGTTTGGGGTGTGGGATGGCACCAGTGTGGACTCTAGAGTGGATGGCACACCCAAACCGCTCCAAGGGATGATGGGAAGTGGGCGTCTGTGTGTGTGTGTGTGTGAGAGTGTGTTTGAGAGCATGTCTGTGGGAGGAAGGGTTAGGATGAGCGTGCTCTGCTTTTGCCTGCCTTGTATAGAAACGCATAAGGAAAAAAAAAAGTGTACATTTTTTTTCATAACATTTTCAACAATGTTTATAATTATTGCAATTTAAGACAAATAATGAGTGTGATTGAAAACTTTTTACAGTCTAGTAAGTTAGTGCGGATTTGTCTGTATGGAGAGAGTTGTTTATATCCGGGTGACCATGTGGGATTGTGGCTTGAGTGCTGGGATTGACACCTGTCCGCAGAGGGGGCGGAATGAAAAGGTGTATAGGGTCACAAGTTGTACATTTATTTCCTCCCCCGCTCAAATTGACTCTATAGAACAAAAACAGGAGATTTGTAAATACACAACCCCTCGCGTTAGCTTTTTCAGGAGGGATACAATCTTGGGCATGATGAAGTCTGTCTTGCATCAACCTTCCCCCTTATGGTCATCGTGACATCCCCACCACCTCCATTGCTGAGGATGTTTAGTTCTGCTCACCTCTGACCTGGAAACGGTCCCAAAATCACTCATTTTAGTGTATGATTAATTCCGAGACCTCCATTAAAGGAGAACGCACGTGTAACCTTTTCCCTTTTGTCTCTGAAGGGTTTGATCATGTCGTCTGTGGATTTGATTAGATAAAGTGACTTGGTTGTGGTGAAGTTGCTCTCTGAGCTTTCGTCAAACTGTTTTCCTTGCTTTTAATCTCACAGACTTCCAGTCTCTCGTGGCTTTATTGTTGACCTGGCGTTCTACGGTAGTGAAGCCTATAGAATGTAGCCGTGTCCTTAAAAAAAAAAAAAAAGACCCTGGTACTCAAGTCATTGCGACAGGATCACTCGACAGTTTCTCTAGCTTTAACCCCGGGTTTTTTTTGTTTTGTTTTTTACTCCCCCTGGATTCCAGATTTATTTTAATTCACAGAAAACGCATCGGAATATGGTAGATTTAAACACAGGGGAATGGAGTATATTAGCAACTTGTGCTACTCGACAGATGTTGCTGCTAACTGTTTGTGAAGAACTAGCTCATCTCTTAACCATGTCCAACACTCATGGATGTTAACTTTCTTTTCTTGGTTCCCTGATGTGAATGTGTTTTTGGCGACTGTGTGTTGGGTCCATTGAGTGATAAGGTTGAATTGTTTGTTTGGATGTCTGCTACATATAGTGTAAGCATTGTGACTGCAAAATAAACATCATTGGTTTGTACTAGTATGTGCACGTTTTGTGACTGCCACATCGTGGCTAAACTGTCATGCTTTTAGTCAACATGGTCAAATTTGACTCTTTTTAATAAAAGCTCCTGTTATTAATAGCGATAGAGCTTCCCATGGTCATAGAAAACTTGAAATGTCAAGAAAATGAAAGGGATAGTTCACAAATTGAAAGTCAATGGGTCCATTAACTGTTTGGTCACCCACATTCTTAAAAAAAAAAACATCTTTTGTGTTCAGCAGAAAAAAGAAATTCATACAGGTTTGGAACAACTTGAGGGTGAGTGATGACAGAATTTTAATTTTTGGGTGAATTATCCCTTTTAACATTAACTGTAAATGAAATTCATGGTAGTCTGCAGTGAATATTAATTATTTTTCTAGTTATGCTCTGCTCCATATACTATTGGACTGAATTTACTATATATTAGTATAATCTCAGTGTGGCAGTAAAGGTTATAGCAGAAATGCCAGATGATGACAAACTTGCAAGAAAGTTGGCATTCGGATACATCAAGATGTTCTCAAGGGTGAACTTAGAACTCTTAAAGCATAATTGCATTAATCTTGATTTTTGATGTGTAACTCCTAATTTTATTCATGCTCATTCATTACTGTGGAATTCTGCTTTTTGTTGAATATGTTTTACTTGGAATTACATTTTACAGTGAAATGCGAATGCAATTTCATGGCTTTCAACCCATGATTAATCAGTTACAATATGATAAATTCACAGTACAGCAGCACTTTTCAGGGGGAAATGTGCTGTTATTTATTACAAAAAAAGTGAGACATTACAGGAAAAACGAAACTAAATTTTATCCACCTTCCAACTTAAGTACAGATGGAAAAAGCAACTCTTTTACATAGGACATTTATTATGCATTTCTCCACTTTTGAACTTGATGTGTAAGATCTCTACTATGCCAAGAAGGCCACTTTAAATACCACACTGTCATGATTAACACTCATCTTTTTTATGTTGTTTGGTTTTTGAATTGGCGTTGTGGACGATGTCATTGTATCCTTCTCGGTTTCTGGCAATCTCAATGGCGTAAAACTGGATTCTGGTCGCTGAAATGAAAATGGGGAGGGAAATTAGGCATTTTCCCTGTGTGTTTCCTTCTAGCGATGTTTTGTTTTCTATTGGCAAGATACTGATCCATTTCTTGGGGACTGAAATGAGTGCATGTGTGGCATTGCATACCAAATATCGTGTTCTCCTCAGTGTAGTCCTTCTGACAGTCTAGACGTAATAATGTACCATAGTTGAAGTCATCTACAACACCTTCAAACTGGTTACAAAAGGGCCTCCATTTCTGGAAACAAAATTTAAACAGAGCTTGACAGACTCTCTATGAGGGAATGTATAAAATTAAACTCATCTCGCGTGCAAAAGTGACGTCCCAAACCTCTTTAGCGTCTGCTGACTTCAGCAGGTCCGGGTCCAGAACTCCAATACTGAGGTCAGGAAATGCTTCCCGGAATTTAGTGTATATCTGCTCATCTGATTTAGTTAGTTTTAGAAATTTAGGCTCAACGGAGGAAATAAGCTGTGGAGAAAGAAACTGTCAGTTAAACTGGACATTCAAGTGTTCCAAAATCGCCGCAGGATAGATTGTGACCATTCATTCATTCGCTCGCTCACTTACATTAAAGTAAACTTCAGCGTGATTGTAGGCTTTCATAGCCCACATTACTTCCAACTGGGCCTGATAGGGAACAAAATACGGTTAGTGTTTTGAAGTGATAATGGTTTTAAGAAAATTAAAAGTTTTGCTTATTTCTGCAAATATCAAAACATCCCATCTCACATCATTTCCATACGCTTCTGCTGGAAGAGAAAGCGCATGCGCAGCAGCGGTGGCTCCTTCTACCCCCTGTTTATTAAAACAGAAATATTGAATGAAACATTACAGAACATTAATAAATCTTAATATGTAAAACTCGTGCCATTTATAGCACACAAGAGATCGTGATTACCAACGCTGGCAATACCCATGTTAGACTACTAAAGAACTATCAAATCATTTAGACCTGGATTAATATAAATTTCAGTGATTATTAAGGATATTATTTCTTATTACTGATCTGTTTTGTTTTTGTTGCCATTTGCTCTTGACATGCTTGTTAGCATGCAAGCTAACTATGATATGTAGCAATATGGGCTGAGAGCAGTAGTGAATATCCGTTAACTGAGAGCATCGGTTCGATAAAATACTAGGCTTGCCTGTCGCGTTATTGTACAGTGCGTTGTGTTTGTTGATACGTTAAAATAATGCGTTCCCTACCAGAGATGCAAGAACATTCCCCGTGTCCATGCTGGCGCCTTTTGACCCGGAAGAGCTACAATCACGTCATGACGAAAGGTCATCTGATTTAAATGCGTTTTGTTGTTTTCAGTTTGCCGTTCAGATCAGGTATTGTTGCAGTGGAATTGATTTTAGAAGAATTCAAATAATTAAAAGAAAAAGCATTTATATTAAGGTGTTTAAAAATCAAGCGGCATACTACAAAAACGTATCTAGTGGTTATGCTGTGTATTACATGTAGCTCTCTGTCGGTCATATGTAAAAAAAAAAAAAAGTAGGCTAAGTTCACATTGTGGAAGCATAATGTTAAATATCCAAATGCTACATTTATATAAAATGGCATGTATGTGAAATACTGCCTAACAATAAGAGGCTTAACTGCGTCCTAGGGGTTAGGCTCTGTAACCTATTTTTATTTATTTATTTTATTATGAAGGACAGGAAAGAATAGAATAGTCCTAAAAACTTCAAAATGGAATGGATTATGACAGGAAAAAATGGGAATATATCGAGGCCAGACTGGAATAGAACGGAATAGAGTAGAACAGTCCTAAAACTAATAGAATAGAATAATCCAGCAAAGAATCAAATATGACAGAACAGAATAAAATAGGAGAGTAGGGGAGGGAATAGATCTACCAAGACATGAAAGAACAGAATAAAATATAACAGGAAGTAATAGAATATGACAGAATAAGAGGGAATAGTTCTAATAGGCTATAGATCATAATAAATTAATTAGGACAAATTGAATAGAAACAGTAATAGAATGAAATAGAATATGACAGAAATTAATAGAATATGACAGGAAAGAATAGAATAGAACCTAAAAACTTCACAATGGAATAGAATAGGAATTAAAAAGAAATTAACAGAATATGGCAGAATATAACAGATTAGCCCTATCCTAAAAACTGACAAATAGAATAGAATAGAATATGACAGGAAATAATAGAATGACACAATAGAAGAAAGGAGAGGAACAGATCTAGGCCAGACAGGAAAGAATAGAATAGTCTTAAAACTAATAGAATATGATATGATAGGATAGGAATTAATACAATATTGCAGAATACAATAGCCATGCCCTGCCCTAAAGAGTGCAATAGGAATAGAATATGACACATTATAAGAAAAGAGAAGAGAATATATCTAGGACAGACAGGAAGGAACAGAATATATTTTTTTTAAAGCGAGCTATTAGTGTAATTCATGTAAAATAAAATGTAGCCTACTCATAGAAAATATATTGTCGCTGTCATAATAATAAAAGGCTTTACCGCGCCCTCTAGTGGTGTAAGGTTCGATTATAACCTTCGTGTTAGTTATTTTATTTTATTTAAATATTTTTTTCAAATACCTTGTGTTATTCAGGTAGCCTATCAGTTGTAGCTACTTAATAAAGTCAGAGGCGACTTGCAAATTTTGAATAATGTAAAATGTAGGCTATATCATCACAGATGTATAAAGACCTCCAGATAAAATATAGCATAAATCCTTATATTAGGCTAGGCTATAGGCTCAAAGAGAGGTTCGCATCTAGGGAGGAATTAAAGTGCCCTATTAAAAGGAACAGGACGGTCCCATCTTGAGTAGCCTACAGTTGTTTTACTCTCATTGGCTGGCCATTTACTGTAAAAGATGCTTCAGACGCACATTTCCTCCACAGCGGCTGTGTTTCAAAAACTACAGACCACGTTTTGGGGGGTTTATTAGCGCGTTCCGAGTCAGCTGACGCCTAACGGGACTATGACGCACAATATGCGGTCTAGGTAGGCAGCTCACTGGTGTTTGAGACACGGCCAATGTGGCACGAGCATATGAACGCGTAATCCACGCAATGATCTTGAGTGAGTGTTCAAGAGACCTTTAAAATTCTGCATCTCTGGACGGAAAGGACTGAATAAACCGCTGCTTTAAAATCTAAGGTACGAGCACGCGACATGTTTTTATTTATTATATATCTGTGAGGGATGCAGTGGAGTAAAATGTGCATACTAGCCTATAAATGTTCAAATGATTGATGTCGTTTGTTGTTGTTTGATGTATGATGGATGTATGTATTCATATTTTGCCGTAGTCGATTATGATCATCAGTAGAGGTTGTGCATCATCGGCCACTTGCACGCAGAGTCTAGAGGACAATTTCAAATCAGTTCTATTTGAAAACCGTCGGATTGGGATTAGAAAATAAAATGTGTCGTTTTGTTAGGCCATCTACAGCTGTAACCTTCAACAGAATCTTGACTTCAGACCTTAAATGTTCTGTGGGCCTGTCCATTATTATTCATGACTCGAGTCATGTAATTAAAACAAATTGATTTAATTAAATGTCCGATATATATATAAACGTTTTGATTTATTGGCGAATTACATTGACTTGTGCCCCGCAAGCGTCACGAAATAACAGCAAACAGAGTAAATAAAGAAAGAAAGGAAAACAGCAACAGTCTCTCCAGAGAATGTCTAATATGGTCTCACTGCTGGCACTAAAAGTCGCGCCCCCGAACAGCTGCGCGTCCCCGCGCGTTTCCCTGTGTAAAGCAACAGGAAACTACTGCTTCCTTTAAGATATACCTCAGTCCTGCAGGTTTTTTCTCTGAGGAGCACTTCTTATTTTTCATTGGTTGTCCAAATCAATTTAATATGCAATGATGATAATAATAATTATTAGTGGAAATTGACCTGTTTTTACTAGTAGGAAATTACCAGAGTAATACGCTCTGATTCATATTTGTAGAAATATAAGGATTGCCTGCACACACAAACAAAACAAAGGAGCAATTTGCTGTCACATTTGCTCATGATCACACAGTCTGAATTGATGGTGGCAGTGAAAAGGTTTTCTCATCATCAGAGAAAAGGCTGTAAGATGTAAGGAGCAAAGAGTCACATGTTAAGAGGTTCTTCAGTTCCTGATGGCAGATTCCCTGCTGTTTTTACCTGTAGCTAAATACGCATTTATTTCATATTCCCCATGATGGCCGAGAGACTGTTGTACTAAACAGATGAAGATGTGTAGTGATGCTGTATAATGAAACACTGAAGCAGGCTGATCGTCTGTTGGATATTAGAAATCCAGTTAGACAGCAGATGACCTCCCCTTCCTCCCCTTCATTTAGATCCACTTTGCATGGAAAGTCAATTCTGAAGAGAAATAACATTTGTATCTAGTCCAATTCTTTTCTATTCTGCCTGGTCTAGATGTATCCCGTTCTTTTCTATGCTTTTCTATTCTATTCTGGTCTAATCTGTTCTGTTCCCTTTTGCACTTTTTAGGGCAGGGCTATTCTATTCTGCTCTATTCTATTCTACCATATTGTATTAATTCCTATCATATTCTATTCATTTTATGACTATTCTATTATTCTATTTTGTCCGGTCTGGTCCCTTCTCCTTTCTTCTATTGTGCCATATTCTATTTTCAGTTTTTAGGGTATAGGGCTAATTTGTCATATTCTGCCATATTCTATTCATTCCTTTCCTATTCTATTCCGTTGTGAAGTTTTTAGGTCTATTCTAGTCTATTATTTCCTGCCTGGTCTAGATCTATTTCATTCTATTCTATTGTGGCATATTCTATTATTTTCTGTCATATTCTATTTTATTTTATTATTATTTTCTATTATATTCTTTCCTTATTAATTTTTATGGTCTATTATAACTATTCCGTCCTATTCTGTCATATTCTATTACGTTCTGTTATATTTTATTCTGTTCTTTCGTGTCTGGTATAGATCTATTCCCTTCTGTTCTGTCATATTTTATTCTTTCCTGGATTCTATTCTTTTAGTTTTGGGATTATTTTATTCCTTCCTGTCTGGCCTAGATATATACCCTTCTATTTTGTTCTACTCTGTCATATTCTATTGTATTCTTTCCTGTCATATTCAATTCTATTTTGCAGTTGTTAGGACTGGTGTATTCTATTCAGTTTTTTCCTGTCCAGTCTAGATCTATTTTCTTCAATTCTATTGTGGCATATTCAATTATTTTCTGTCATATTCTATTTTATTCTTTCCTTATTCATTTATGGTCTAGATCTATTCCCTTCTGTAATATTCTATTAATTTCAGACATATTTTATTCTTTCATGGATTATTCTATTCTATTACTTTTAGGACTGTTCTATTCTATTCTATTCTATTCCTGTCTGTCCTCGAGATATTCCCTTCTCTTTCTTTTTAGGACTATTCTTTTGGTTCCTGTCTAGATATATTTCATTCTATTCTATAATGGCATATTCTATTTTTCTTTATTCTATTCTATTTCCTTATTTATTTATTATGGTCTAGATCTATGCCCTTCTATTCTGTAATATTCTATTAATTTCTGTCATATTTTATTCTATTCTTCCATGTCTGGTATTCATTCCTGTCCTAAAACTGCTAAATAGGCTGTAATACTTTGTGTGAAAATGTATGTTGCATAGAGTTGTGATGAGACACTTTCCTGCCACTGATGGTGTCCTCCTGTCATTCAGTTTGCAGTGAAGTGATTCACTAAGAGTGGACATTGAGAAGGTTTAATCAATGGGACACTAATCTGATTGAACAAATCCAGCAGTCAGTCTCTCTGCTGGTCTGATCTTCACAGGATTGTTGACTGAACTAGTCAAGACAATCCAGAGCTCTGCTAAACCCCCAGGCTTATGACCTGGATAGCTCTACATGCAGAATAAAATTAAGCCTAGCACATCAGAAGTGACGGGAAGGAGTTAGGAAGGGCTTGTTTTCTGGGACGTGAGGTGCAGCATGGCCATTGTTCAAACAAGAAAGATCTTCAAGAGGAGGGCTTCCTCAGGTTGTTTATGTCAAGCCAGAAACACAAGCTCCCCAGATCCTCGGCCCGTCGCATCGCACTCCCAGTGGAGCCGGAAGGCCTCGCCAAGGTAATGGATCCTGTATCCATCAGCGCTGTTGAGAATTCTCTTCAGACGGAGCAGAGCGTTGCCCTGGTGACGCAACCGACTCGTCTGATTGGGCGTTGGCTGCTGTTGGTCTGCTGAGATAAGTGCTTTTCAGTTTGGGTGGAGAGAGAAGTGGGTGGGGTCTTCTAGACAGCGTGCAGAGAGAGAGAGAGACGATGAGGACTGGGGAGAATGGGAGAAGGATGACAGGAAGTCTGGATCTCTCAGCGTAGGATTTCCTCTTCATAACAGCTGGAGCTGAGGTGGAATCCTGGTGTGTATTGTGGCTTGTTTTGCCTCCAAAATGACCCTTTCCTTTCAGACTAATTATGGTTGGTTCTGCGATCCATTCCTTAATTTTTTTATGAAGCTATGGATTTTTGGTGCTTGGTCCTGTGCAGTTTGACCTAAATATGCAATATATGTGTATAAATATTATTTCTTTTGAAGTTGTTTCATACCATAAACTTATCACTGGTTTCTTCTGTTTACGTTTGTAAAAACAAAAACAAATTATTATTTATATTCAAGTCCAGGTTAAAATTAGGATCTTTTCCTTTTAAAGGAAGTGTGTTGTGATGTCTTTTTGCCTCTATATGGGTGTTGGAAGAGTTCTGATCATTTTCTTAGTCAGTATTTTTGTCTCGTCTTCCAGTAAACATATTTAAAACAAGAGAAATTTAAAGGGATGGTTCACCCATAAATGAACATTTCGTCTTAGTTTACTCACCCGCAAGCAAACCTGTAATAGTTTCTTTCACAAAAGAAGATATTTTGAAGAATGCTGGTAATCAAACAGTTGATGGACCCCATTGACCTCCATAGTAGAAAACAATGGAAGTCAATGGTGCCCCATTAACTGTTTGATGAATTTGGAACAATTTATGGGTGAGTAAATGACAGAATTTTAATTTTTGGGTGAACTATCCCTTTAACAACCGTGTCAGATGTTTAGTTTTCAGACACAAATGCTGATTAAGTTTTTGCTGTGAATAAGAATCATATTACTCTTGCATGCTAAGCCTCTCCGATGAGAGATTAGGGCATTCTCCGGATCTCGTAAGTGCACTGCCTGGCTTCCTTATCAACACACTGTTTTCAGTAATGCTTGAAGAAGGCCCATTAATGCCGGTCTGACACACTATGCTGTCTTTAACAGAGTAGTGTTAGTAATGGTAGATCATTTAAGCTTTTCTGTGGTTGATCAGTGTACATTGTAGTAGTGCAGTATACTATTTTATCCTATGAGCATACATGCAGTTCATATGTTCTCAGTGCAATGGAATAGATTAATTTTATAAGTGTATGGATAGTAATTACCAGCTACTTAATACCCGTGGGCCATCATTTAAAGTATATTTTGTTGTTGCTAATTATTTTTATTTAATTGTATTCAATTTATCTATAGGTTTTTGGTTAAAAGAGGTTGTTGGTTAAAAGTTAACAAAAGTTGTTGCTCCTTATTTTTATTTAAAGGGATAGTTCACCCAAAAATGAAAATTCTGTCATCATTTACACACACTCAAGTTGTTTCAAACCTGTTTCTTTCTTCTGCTGAACACAAAAGAAGATATTTTGAATAATTTCAGTAACCAAAAAGTTGATGGACCCCATTGACTTCCATAGTATGGAAACTGTTGACATTCTTCAAAATATCTTCTTTTGTGTTCAACATAAGATAGAAACTCATACAGGTTTAAAACAACTTGAGGGTGAGTAAATGATGACTGAATTTACACTCTTGAGTGAACTATCCCTTTAATGGCATTTGTTTTGTTGGTTGAAAGTAAACATGAATTAAAGATGCTCATTTATAATGGCTGTGACTGAGGTCAAAGGCAATTGTACCGCTAGTTATGAATTAAAAATAATGAAAGCTAAAAGTATTCAACTGAAAACTGATTTTTCGACTGATCGATATATTTTAACAGAGTTTAACACATTTAAAATTATTATAATATGCCAGACCCAGTCAGAAAAAATTACCATTGTGAAATTTTGTTGTTTCACATTTGAAAA